TTAATCTTTAACAGAATCAACAAATTATATAATAATAAAATATAATTGTAAGATATAAAGATAATGGGAGATATTGGAGATGATAAAAAAAAAAATATAAGAGATAATAGGAGATATATAGGCATCCACAAAAATATTATTATATTCATAACAATATTAAGTTTTTGAAAACACATAAAGTGTTGCTTAGATATTAGACCAACCCTATCTTAGAGAGTGTTATTTGTATAAAGGATAGGAGGGAGCATAGGTTTAAGCTTGATGATGATCCATAATGAAAATATAAAAGTCTAGTATACTTGTCATGGAGAGTATTTAACTAGATTATAATATCTGGTTCCTTTAGCCAAGCCATTCAAGCTTCATCCAAAATGTACAAATTTAAAATTGATTGATTTATGTTTGTGATTTAACTAAAAGTTTTAATGGAGGCATCTTTAGAATTTTTAGAAGATACCGGTTTGGTCACAAATCCCAATTATTTTTTTAGTGGTATTAAGGATGATATCAAGCAACAAATTTGTGGTTTGACTGGATTTAATATATATGGACAATTTCCCCATAAAGTGCATAAGTGATCCCTTCAGATGAAAGGATAGTGAATGCCAAAGTTTTATTTGGAAAGTTATTGCTTGTGTTAAAAACTTGCATCGGTCTTGATTCTAAAGGCATATGTATTTATGTTGAATTAATTTTAATACTATATGTAAAATATATTTTTTGTGTTTATCAATTTTTTAAATTATTTTCAATGATATTCCCTCAATAGTAATCAAATACGAGAGAGATGCAGGGTATTAGGAAAGATAATTCATGTGTTTTATAAAAAAAAACATGTCATATTTATTACTCCTCCGGTCCTAAATATAAGACCCTTATACACACTAGTATAAGGGTCTCATATTTAGAACCGGAGGAGTATAATTAACTAACTTATCTGACTTTTTAATCTAGTCAAATTAATTAAATATGTCTTATATTAAGGACTAGAGGAGTATTGCATATTTCTTTTGTCCTATTTATAACTCAATTTCAACATCTTTCATACAAATTTAAAAAAAAAAAAACTTAAACTTCATTAAGATACCTTAAAATTCAATGACTTTCCAACTCTGTCCATATTTAATATACAATATACCCCATAAGAATAAAATTGACAGAATAATAAATAAAAAGGTAAAAATGGACATTAATGTGAGAAGAGTTATCTATCAGAACAATACTCTTATCGATCTATTAACAACAAGTAGATCAATGTTAGGGGAATTAGTAATGTGTTGAGAGAAATTGGTACAAGAAGCTGTGGATACACTTTTTGATAATGAAATCCACGAACAACCAATGAAGGACGGTCATAATAAGGTTTGTAAGTCGTTTTCAGATGTAATTGAGGGCGTAGATGTTTCAGATGTAATTGAGGGCAAAGAGGGAAGATTTCTGCCCCATAGATAAATATGACCAAAGGAGTATTACGCAAATATATGGATAAAGATCTCAAGACATCATTTGGCATAATGTTACTAATATATTCAAAAGCTGCATTAATGCAGAAGTATCAATTTCTCTTACGAAGACTGTTTTGCAATAATATTAGTAACCATACAACAACAAGAAGCTTTATCGTGAATAATATTAGTAACCATATTTGATATTTTTTTTAGGAGTATAATGAATATGAACAACCGAATCACGTCTTATAATCTCTTTTGTACAAACCCAAATTTTGGAAAACATATATTTATCTTATGCTAAATGTTGGCAACAATAAACATTGTTATTCTATCCATGTGTGTATATACTAGTGTTAAGTCTTTCTTCTGCTACATAGTCCAGTTAATACGGTTAAAGAAGTGGAGAAAATTTAAACTTGTTTGATTTTGTTATCTATTTTTATTGTTCTCGTAAAAATTTTGCAGAGTAATCTTTTAGAATAAATTTTAAAGATTAAAAAAAAAATATGTTTTAATCATTATTTTGAAAAACGCATTTAAAATGGTGAAGTGAAGTGCGAATGAATAATAGTTTGCTTTATTAATATACTTGTCATCAATTAAAATACAATATTTTCCGCCTCTTTTCTAATTTCGTAGAATGTAAAAAGATGTTCTTGTCTTTTTATTTTTTGAAACAAACTTTAACTTTTCTTTTCAAAAACGCATGACGATAACACGTTTTCAATTTTTTTTCAAAAAAAAAAAAGTTAAAAATAGAAAACCAAATAAGTCCTTTGATGTTGATTTTTTTCAAGACCATAGAGGAAATGGTAAAGCCAATGCTATTGTCCCCTCGGAACACACTTGTTTCTAAAAAACATATGATGGTCTAACATAATACACGAAGACATTTCTTTATATGAGGGTTGATCACAAAAAATTAAAAAAAAATAGTTAAAAGCCCTATTTAAAAATTTCATTAGCTAAAAGGACATGAATTGGAGTATTAGTTCTTTTTGCATGGGAAATCCTTTAAAATATTGGTATTTTTTATTTTTTTTATGTATAAAAAATATATTAGATCCTTCTGATCAATAAAATTTTCAAACAGAGATTTTTCATTAATTTTCTCATAACTAGAGAGCTTATAGAAAATATATATTAATATATTAATGACTTTTTATTGTCACATGAATTCCACGGTATGTATATTGTGTAATTCTGAAAATAAATATACATATTCTTCATTTGTGAGTGGTCCAAGATGCTGGCTAAGAATGCTATGAATTGAATTAATAGTAATACTAAATCAAATGAGTAAAAGGCATAGAGACGGGAACGAGCATTATTGAATTTGTTCAAGCATCATGCGGTAAAGAAATATGTTTTGTCTCTTAAAAATATCCAATCTCCTACTTAAAAAATATGTGTTAAATTCTAATTTTGCATACTTAAGAAATTAAAGCCAACAAAAATAACATTTTTTAAAAGATTGTAGGGTTAAGTTACACCCACGGCTAACATCCTAAAATATTTTTTCAATAGTATTCAATATTCTAAACTAATCTATTATTCATCAAACACCCCTAAAATATGTTTTAGTAACACTTATTATCCTAAAATATTTTTCAATAATTTTTTGTGCATACGCCATATTTTTCTACTACTACTCAATGTTCTAGGTTTAGGGGCTCATGATCGTTTCTGAGAATTTTAAGGGTAAAATTACACTAATAATATTTCAGGATATTGGGTACCATTAAAAAAAATATTTTAACATGTTGGATAAATAACAAATTAGTTTAGAATATTGCATGTTATCAAAAAAAATATTTTGGGGTGCTAATGTTAACTAAATGTGTATTTTTGTATTTTTGTTACCGTTGTGATTTTGAAATAGATAATTAAAAATCCTTCCTTAAATCAAGCATACTCATTCTTTTTCCTCTAATTGTGTATGCATTATTGAGTTCTTTCGAAAATTGAAACATGACCCTTTTTTTAAATAGAAAAAAGAAAAAAAAACTGAAACCTCAGCCTGTACGATCAATCTCTCAACCGTCACTATTTAATAATGTGGCCATCATCAATCATTAATCACATATTAATTTTCTATATATTTTATATTGATATATATATATTTAAGTGTGACACATTTTAATGTGAGCATATATGCGCACTAAACATCCAAGGAACATGCTCATTTAACCCCAAATTAATTTTACATATATTACAACTTGGAAGAAAGCTGAAAATTAAGAACTTAAACAATGTTGGCAAAAAAAAAAAAGAACTTAAACAAAAATAAATGATTGAAGCATGTGACAGTTTGTAAAGGACATTTTGGCTTAGATGTATGGCCATGAAGGAAATGATTGAAGATGATAAAAGATGTGATTTGCCTTCAACATTTATAACAAACTTTTTCTAAAAAATTTTGTGGCCACACTCACAATCATAAGAAGCATGGACCCATGATTATGTTGGTGAATCGACAAAATAATTCGACTCCTTTGTATGTTTCATCTGTTATACTGCCTCTGGGCATTAATATAAAAAAATTAGTTAAGAATTATACTTGGTCCTAAATATAATATCTTAATTCACTTTATCGTTATAGATTTGTAATTATTCTCTGAAGTATTCATATTGACTACAAATGACAAAGTTTTTTCTTTTTGGGTATAGCTCATAGTATCTTTAAGTCACGTTGGAATTGAGACTAATCTTTATCAGGTCAGGAGTATTAAAATTATAACCCTTCCAACAAGGGTGTTTTCTGGGATTAGAACTTATGTTCTTCTTCCTAAGTAGATGAGACTACTTACCATCTCAACCAACAGCTTGTTGGTCATGTGAAGGGGTTTTTATTCAAAGATAGTCATGATTAAAAAAAGTATTTTAGGAAAATCAACTCATATTTGTTATAAACAACTAATTTAACTAATTTTTTTAATCTACGTAAATTAGTTAAATAGTTCTTATATTAAGGATAACAGTTAGTGTAAGAGTAGTTAGATAACTTATTTGAGTATATTAAAAAAATTAGTTAAGTTAATTGGTTATTTATATTAAATATATATTGGCTTTCAATTATACGCATTGGAGCTAGCTACCTCCTAGTGGGAAATAGAGATATTTTTGGGATAGTCTTATATTAAAGATAAAACTCAATCCCCACTAACTCTTATATGTTAAGAATCAAAGTAATATTGTAAATATAAATATCATATAATGAATTGGTTGTATACTTGCTATAAACTGTATATACGTATAAAGTGATTCAATTCTTCTATTCAAAAGGTGAGATTAAAAGCTTTTAATTAATTTTTCCACTCTTTTATCTTATAATAAAATATTATAACTTTAATTATTTAAACTAAACTCATGAAGGATTAGAGTTATGGTCATAGATAAAAATTTTGGTGTCGTGTGTCAGAAGCCTAACAATATTTCTTTGTTAGTTTCTCCATGTAATGACAATATTACCATTTTAAGTGGTCGATTTCACGTTTGAAATCACTAACAGAACCATAATTTTATAAGTTACGTGAAACCAAACACACATTTAAATAAAGATTATTCATAAATTTAGAGGTACAAAATACACACACTGGCGCGTGCGCGCACACACACATGAATGCACAAATGCACATGATGTAATTTAAATACTTGAGGAGCCCAATAACAAATATGAAATAATACATTCAGATTTGATGTTATAGTATGCTCTTGTTGTGCGTCCCAGCTTCAAAGATCGGATCCAAACAAAGAGTACTACTCACAATCATGCACTGGCTGTGTCATTTAATATCAATGCCATCCTCTAAAAGAACAAGCCATATCATTCTCTACAAGATACGCCTGTAACCTGAATATTATGTACCACATGTCATTAATTATTTATGTGTGTGTGTGTGCCTGCATATGCATATCAAATAGAGTACAGGTATACCCAATTCCCTTCATAATATTGAGCAGCTGACTCTCTCTCTCTCTCTCTCTATATATATATATGTATTAGTTTTATGTACTGGTAGCTTAGCATAGGATGCTGTAGTTTCTGATACCTTCTCTCCTCTTTGATTGCTCTAACAAGTTTAGTAGTTTGAGGGGCCATCGTGGACAAATCTAAGCCTCGCCGGCTGCATATCATCAAACAGAGGGAAATCAATCAGTTATTCTATGCAGAGTTGAGGCTTACATCTATATTGTGCAAATATAGAAGCGTGTGTATAAATATATATATATAAAAGAGACGATATGATATAATATATTGGATATGACAAATTTTAAAATTTTGGTACTTCCTCTAGTTCTCTGTATAGGAACTAAATAATCAATCTATAGATTTTTTTTGCCAACAAATAATTAATCTATAGATATTTAAAAAATAAATTACATATTGATTTCTCTAAAGTATCTTACTTAATCATTTGTCCTTGAACCACCTGAAACCCTTGATATGTGGCATTAATAAGAACAGTTTGGCAAAAAATCATAGATTTGAGAGATAAAATGAATTGAGGCGTTACACTTAAAACTATAGTAAATCCCTTATCTAGTTCCAACATTTAGAACCCAAGGAAGTATATGAATACAAGTAGAGTTTCAATTTTTAGGGGGGGAAAACATTTCAAAGCTACCAATAAAAACATAAAATAAATTAAAAATATAATTTCCAATTCAAACTAAATGTCAATCTTCAGCTTTGTTCGTGTTATTAAAGATTCATGCTGTTAATTTTTGGAGCATTTCAAGACCAATAATACAAATGTTAGATTACGTCACACAAATAGTGAGGTATGTATGAATATCCTATCAGCTACATATTCAAGATAAATACGCCTACTTTTTTGAAGTAATGGTGCAACATGTTCATATCATGCGAAAAATATTTAGAAGTAGAAATTCGCCAGTAAGAGAAAACTCAAACCGGTGAATATGAACATATTCATGAATCAGAAAATAGTACACCCACTCACCTGGACCAACAAGTTGCTCATAACGAGCAACAATGTGTTTCCCATATGTGTATTTCTTCAAAGCATCTAAATGATCTCCTATATGATTGAGAAGCATTTCCCGATGCCTGTCATTGCTTATATCAAGAAGCTTCTGGATCACATAATTAGCAAACTGGTCCTTCATCATTGTCTACATTATGCAACGCCGGAAACAAAGTCAGTCAGCAGAAAACAAGTCTCTCCAGTAGTGTTATCTTCAGTTCATGAATGTCAACTTTCAATACCCAATTTTTAAAATAAACAATATATGTCCTTTCCAACAACATAAAATATCCAAATGTTTTAATCAAGGACCTTGACATGAAGGAAAAGTGTTAATACCAGAATGAACACTCATCACCAATATGCAAAGACAAATGCCTGCATGCATGCATTGCTTTTACTTCATAAAGACAAGATATTTATTATCCTGAATAGACGTATTGGCTGGACTAAAATTTGAAAATTAAAATCTGAAGAGTGAGAATTTGATCAAGACTATGGTCATCTCTCTCCAAGGTGATAGTGTTAATATTTTTTTAAAAAGACATAATAGGATTCTAATTTACCATGAGCAGAGCAGCCCTGGATGAACAAGAAATGACACTGCTTTCCTCTTACTCAGAACTATTGACCAATAACTGTAAATTGTATACTACTCTAATTATCTCTATGATGATCTGGCTGTTGACCCAAATCAATAAGTCAGACAAAACTATTACATGCTTAACAATGCCTTGTATAAATTCATCACGTCCAATGGCTAGCGTCAAAACTTAAATCCCCATTCAAAACCTAGAGTAGTTTCTACTTTCACTATAGGCTAATGATCTGACTTACCAATAAATTATGGTCTTCACCAGGCTGCCCAATTATTTCCGAAATCAAAGCCTCTCGTTCAGTCGCATCACCATGCTCTAAACACTTCTCAACAACATTGGAAGCATACTTATGCTGACTCAACTGTACAATCTTGCCAGCTAATTTGCTTACAATTTGACCTCTTTCATTTTTTCCCCTTTTCAGGACGTGCTGCAGCAGTTTCCATTCAAGCATAAATTTAGAGAGGGGGAAAAAAAAGAAAGAAATAAAGACAAACAAACAAAAGAGAAGGATAAAGGAGAAACAGATGTAGTGGGTGATTAAACATTTCAATAGTTTTGGGGTGATAAGGACATTTTAATAGTCAATGGCTTTTTGCGACCATCTTAAAGTCAATATATCAGCCAATAAACTAGTTTAACTTGGGAATATCTCATCATCCGGATGTGCCCCATGGCTCCAGTGATGTACAGTTTGTACACCAACTTCCTTTATCAATTTAATGTGCTTAAATAGCTTAGAAAAAGTGGAAAATTGCAGGTCAGATGAAAATCTTGAAAACTAAAAATTTAGGTTCATAGGGAAGAAAGCTAATGCATTTCAAAGTATAACAGGTAACTTTTCTTCAAGGGAGAAAAGCATAAATTCTGACCTGAGTCACATAATTGCCGTACTGATCTTGAGCAAGGACAAAAGCAGATTCCAGAATTTCGTTCACTATAAATTGAATATATTGCTCGTCTGAACAATGCTCCAAAATTCTCTAATAAAGGAAGGTAAATACATAAGTAACATTTGAAAGATTCCATAATGAGTAGAATCCTTCACAGTAAAATATGTGTACCATTACCTGAATAACACGACACCCATATGGGTGAGTAGAAAGAGCCGGAACTTGTCCTTGAAATGCAGATGTGATAAAGTGGATTTTGTCCACAGGCATGCATTCTATGCATTTTTGTATGACATGATTCCCATTTTGATCGTGTACACATCTCATGACATGTCCATCAAGCTCTTGCACTAACAGTATCTTCTGATCTAATTCTATAACCTCAAGGGCCTTGAAAATGGATTCCAAAATTGAACCAAAATCAGTTTGAGATAAGCAAGAGGGGAAAAAACATGTTCTCAAACATGCACCAACTAAACACATAGATGTACATGAACGGTCAATCAGTGATATTGCTTTAAATATATAAAAGAAATAGGTGAATCATTAACTGAGAGGAAAAGTTGGTTAAAAACTGTCATGTGCGATAGATTTGCTTTTGCTGTCTCTACACGAAGGGCATAGCAGGCTTGGGGTGGAAGTTAAAAAACCCTTGATAAAATACAGGAATATGCGGAAAGAAAGTTTACTGGCAAGCACACGTTTGAAACTCTTAAAATTTAGGGTAAAAAGGTAATGCAGAAATATGATGGATGACGAATCACGGGCACACACACACAAATAAACTCCTTTAGTCTGGTGAGATAACAATAACACCACTACACAACAACAAACTCCAAGATTTCTCCAAGATAAACCCCTTTTTGAAACTCTTAAAAAGGTAATGCAGAAATATGATGGATGACGAATCACAGGCACACACACACAAATAAACTCCTTTAGTCTGGTGAGATAACAATAACACCACTACACAACAACAAACTCCAAGATTTCTCCAAGATAAACTCCTTTTTGAAACTCTTAAAAAGGTAATGCAGAAATATGATGGATGACGAATCACGGGCACACACACACAAATAAACTCCTTTAGTCTGGTGAGATAACAATAACACCACTACACAACAACAAACTCCAAGATTTCTTGGTAATAGTAAACTCTTAATCATTTAACAAAGAAATACGAGATTAATTAATTAAATCTCTTTGTATCTAAAGCATCCTATGGTATCGTCAAAACTTTTGCATCTAAGAAAAAAATTACATAAGGAATGGAATGATTCAGCAAATAGTGCAACGAGGACATGGTAATGTATGGACGAAAACTGGAAATTGTCAGTGAAAGCTAATACTCTTCAAGTAATACCCATAACTTGTCAGGGACACCAATAGATCACATAAGACGGTAACAGGAAATAATTATTACTAGTACTTAAGAAATCATCATACCTTCTGGATAACACGACAGCCATACATATGCAAACTTAATGGTAAAATCTGTCCAGAAAGTTTGTCTGCAAGGTTTTTTTGCTGATCAGCACTTCCATGCTCAAAAAACTGCATTGAATGCAACTAAATTAGCAAAATAATGTAAAAAATGTATGACAAGTGCACAGGCAAATGTAAAACCAAAAAGATGCAATAATTCAGCAGATATGGATTTTGAATGTACCTTCTGAATTACATAATTGCCAAACACATCTGTCATTAACTTTGAGAAATGTGGAAGGATTTCTTCAAAAACAGATGCCTTCTCTTCAGCACTGCTGTTTTCGAGCTTCAGCTGGATAAACCGACTTCCATGTTGGTCCATGCTAAAAATCAAAAATCAACTAAAAAAGATTACTACCTTTCCATAGAGGAGATAATATCACATGCTAAAAAAAATTAATACCTTTCCATAGAGGAGATAATATCACATATTGGAATTGACATATTAGAAAATACCTCAATTCGACAATACGCCCTGCTATATCAGAGAGCTTGAACTTCTCAGGATTGATGGATTTAAGTTCCTCTAGAAAAGACTGCTGCTTGGTTTCACCAAAACCCCTAATTCCTCTCTGTCCAGGAGAAAATCCTGCATTTCTGACAGAAACACAAGGCATATTCTCATTTTGCCCACTTTGAGTGTTAGTTTTGCCCATTGATGAGGATGGAAAAATTGGAACACCACGAGACAAAGGAGGAATTTGCATCATGACACCTGTATTGGAGTTCCCATAATAGCTACTTCCGGAGATCCCCACATGTTTAGTACTTGGAATGGGCAAGCTACCATGTGCTGAAGATTGAAATTTATGACTATTTGAATAGGAAGGAACAGCTGCATCTTGCTGGGAAGGTAGAGAACAACTCAGTCCTTCAGCCAATGTTCTAGATGACAATTGATTCTGCTGAAAACCAGCAGGATACACATCACTGGAAGCGTGGGAATAATATTGCATATTAATTGGATTAACGTATGAAGGTTGTACTGGCAATCCATATTGTCCATGAATCTTGCTGCAACTCTGAAAATCAGAAGCATAAGAAACACCTCTTGAAGCATTGGTAGCTTGACCATTCAGGTCTGGGCTGCCTGCCGCTTCCAAAGGAAGAGGAAGGTCACCTTGAGAAGAATATCCCGCCATATATGGTGCAACAGAGGAAGAACCCAAAGCATACCCACCTAAACTATACTGTGGAGGGAGAAAACCGGATGGATGAAAATTAGGATAAAATGGGTTTCCAGAAGTCATGAATGCAGTTGGGGTTGCATAATAGGGACCAGTAAGTCCAGTAGAAGGCAACGATGATTGTATACCAAGAGGTGAAAATTGTGAATTACTATAACCAAGCATTCCCAAGTAACCTTGTGAATTGTTTGTGCCTTGAGGAAATTGTGACCCCACAGCTGGAAATTGATAAGCATAGTCACAAGTAAAAGATTGATTTAGCTTATTCCTACCATGACATTGTTGCTGTTCTAGTTTTTTCCTTCTAAAATTAGAGGCTGTCAATCTATGCTCCTCCACATTTACAGCCCCATCTGTTGATACATAATCCTTCAGCACAGCATCTTTGTTGCATGTTGGACTTGGATCCACTGGCAGGTTTTGGGATTCATCAACATGCTGCAAACTTCCGAAGTTTAACAGAGAAATTTCATTTGACGTTAGCTCACAAGCATCTGTGTTCAGGATGCCTGTCTCCACAACACTAGGAGAACATGTAGCTGATTCTGACTGGTTTGATAAATCTATTGATGAAACACTAGAAGAAATTGCTTGCACATCAACATCAACTGTATCTTCAGTTGTAGCATGACTTGATAAATGAGATTGGTTAAATACAGGGGAAGGGGTACGGGGGAAGTCTTCCTAATACACAAACAAAAAGGTAAGAAAAGTCAGTGTGCCATAATCAAAGTGAAATTTTAAAAAGCACTGTTCCACACCAAAGAAAATTTGTGAGACTACAACAAACTAGTGACAAGTAATAAAAAATAATGAACATGCAGAAAAATATCATTTTTAAAACACCCTGATGTTAAATTATAAAATATGGATTCAGGAAATTGTAGTCAGAAAACACAAGTGGAAGCTTATACGAGAAGGAAAAAAATAATAGACATAGAGGAAAAATTATAGGAAAAAACGAATTTCTCCAATGTAGGTGTATTTCAGTGGTTTAATTTCAAAACATTTGTCATGAGAAAGGAACATCCCTAAGAAGGCCTTGAAGACTCTTGGCACCTGAGTCATACCTGTATCAAATCCACCAAGCTTTTGTGAACACTAGCCAATGGGATTGCATTTTTCCCAGGCTTAGGCATGTTAGTGGGATTGAACAAGCTTTCTGAAGCTTGCTTTGGTGAACCATTTTTGTTGGAAGCCTCACCAGTAGAAGGGTAAACGATGCCACCATTATCTGAAGCAGCAATGCCTTGATTTTTTTCATGATTACTAAACTGATTTTGCAAGTGCTGTGAAAGAAGCTTGGGATCCAATTTGAGCTCCAAGGAACAACATGCAACATTAGAAGGATCAAATAGCTCTCCTTCAGACTTGTGATGCTCAAGAGAATTGCTCAGACTTCCTGAATTTGAAATCAGACTAGAATCCTCCACAGGTAACATATTTCCAACTGCTGCAACTGAACCCTCCATACTTGGTGGAGCACTGCCACTTCGACTAGGAATTAAGTTTGCTTTTCCTCGACTGAACTTTTCTCCCTTCAAGAAAACATCCAGCTCCTCTGTTGTCTTATTTTTCCAGAAAGATCCAAGTGCTGAAATATCCTTTGAGGAAAGCCATTTGCTAGTTTGGCTTCCTTCCACCATTGTCATGAGACTGTCAGTGGCCATCCAATTTCCAAAAGATCAACTCCCTAAGTTCACCCAAACCAGAGATAGATCCTGTGAGATACAGCAAAAACAAGTAGTTAAGACCACAGACTATCCACGACTTTGGTCAAGCAAATTTGAGGTTTTCAACTTAGGCTTGGCAAGACACTGAAAGATCAAAGTTGACAATCATAATGAAACATCCTATAAGAAAGAGAATAAATGTAGGAAGAGAGGCGTCTTAACGGTTTCAAATTTCTCGCAGTAAAAACAATAAAAAATAGGAAATTTTATTTTCTTAAAAAAAAATCGTTGATATCACATCATGGAAAAGCAGTAATGCTGCACCCAAATATGAGTTGGGTAGATAAGGGGCATATGATCTGCAGCAGCAAGTCTAACCTGTTCTTAATAGACGGATTCTTGATTCGAGTATACAATTCCAGAATTCGATTTTTTTTTTTTTTTTTGAATTACAAGGGGGCGGATCGAACCCGCATTCTCGTGCCACCCAGGGGACTTTTCCTACAACAGGGTCATACTGTAATAGTAACAGAGAGGGGAAGCCATCTCTGATATATTTCGTAAGAACACCAATTGAAGAAGTAAATAGCATCACTGAATGATAGGAACGTTGTAATGGTCTAGGCATATTAAAGAAAGCAAACTATCTAAGGCACTCCTCGTATAACAGGATTGAACATCAAACACTACCGCGTTAATCTCAAATGAAACAACAAAGTGCCTTGTAATTTGGAAAATCCCAAAACGTAAGGCTGTAAAGAACGCTAAAACACAATTCAGAACGAATCAGCGTCATCAACCAAACCGTTAGAAGGAATAAGAATTTTGATCGACAGGCAGAGCATGAAATGAAGAGCTGATAAAACTGCAAAAAGAAAGAAAGAAATAAAGAAATAAACTCACCAGATGATAGAGTGGAGCATGAAAATTGGAGGCAGCCAATTGAAAACCTTTCAAGCCCCGCACAGTTGCAGAAACAGCAGAGATGAAATATGAGAGAGTCAAGGAGAGTGAAATAGAATTCGTTTTAGTCTGAGAAACAAACGTTACTCTGTAAAACCTCTCTGAAGTGTTCTAAGGGTTTGGGCTTAATGAAGTTCCGGGACTAATTTTACAGAACCATTATATACTCCACAGCTGATAAAGGGGAACATATTCTCGAGTTAAAAAAACCAATTGATCATAAAACTTTTATTCCAACAAAATTCAGAACTGATAAAGCTTTTATTGCAATAGATGGTCATTGAAATTTGTATGGAATTCGAGATAAATTACAATATTACATTATAAGCTGGCTTCTTAATTTTTTTTTTAATATTGATTTTGATTTTGAAATATAAATTATATACCATATGTTTTTGTACATGGGGTAGAATAATTTTTTTCAAAGGAAAACAATAAATAAATATGCAATATACTTGTAGAATTAACAATAACTGAATCAGTGGAGTATGTTTAAAACATGTGAATTACCACCAACGTGGCTCTTAGGAATTGATCAAACTTTGTACTACCTCCGGTCTTAATTATAAGAGCTAGTTATTAATTTGAGGAAATTAAGAAAATAAATTAAATTAATTATTTCTTATAAATAGGTATTGTCTTTCTTAAAATGTCATTGTTAATCAAGTGTTTTGGCTAGAACTATCATTATTAGAATAACTACCTTAGGAAAAAAAATGTATAAATATTAAAAACAAAGTGGATTTGAGTCTTATATCTAGGATCCAAATAAAAATCAAACAAATTCTTACGTTAGGGACAAGAGGTAGTATATTTCAAATGAATTCAATAATGCTTCATTGTAGTTAATTAGGTTTCATTTTAGCCTTTTTAGCCCCCAAAAAAAAAAGTTTTTGACTTTAATATAGCCAAATAAGTAATGCAAGCTGAGTTTGTGAGCTTTTAATATTTTCAACACAACAACTTTACAATGTGTACGATTGTGTGGAAAGTGAATTAAAATTATAATTACAGTTATGTTAAAAGCATAACAAGTGATTAACTAATGTTCTTCAAACACCGGCGAACTCGCATATTATATTTTGATCCAATCCAAAATACTTTAAAATAAAACCCATAAAAATTACTTAAGTAGCACTTTTTTTTTCAATTTTTCTTGCAATATTTACCTTTATGTTAATGGTCGTTGGATTTAGAAACTCTTGATGACTTTATATTTATGCGTGGAAGATCGAAGGCTTCTGATAATAAAAGGACAAGGCTTTGTGGCCGGCCAACACACAGAGAAACGCTACGTGTATAGAGCAAAAGCCATTTTTGAAAGAGACATTTCCAATGCTTTTGGACTGGGACCACCCCACATGTCCCAATCCTAGCCATTGCTTGGGGAGAAGCTCTCACATTTCAGCTCAGACAAATCAAAATGGCCATTTTTCTGCCAAGTGACAATACCAAAAGATATACACAGAAGAACCCAGAAAGATCAAGCACTTGAAAATTAACCCATTTCAGAGATAATAATGAGCTTCTTTCAACTCTGTACCTGATACATAACAGAGGCATTATTAGTTTGTTTATTAGCAGGGGAACAGGATGGGACATGGGTCTCTCTCTAACCTATTGTGAGTCACATTTAGTTTCTTCATCTTTTCTTCACACCAAAATAGTTGTTCTTTTGTTATCCTTGTCATTCTCATAACCCTTGATAGGATTCTGATGTCAATCAGACCCATTAATAGCTGAAGGTCCTCTTGCTTCTGAGGCCAAGACCACTTCTTCCAACCCTTTTTCTTTCTCTTCAATTCCTTCAGTTTCATTGCTTTCTGAGTCCACAAGAAAAAGAATGAGTTAAGATCGATACGTAATATTGAACATGACAAACTAAAAGATCCCCTACTCGTGCTTCGAAGGTTCATTAGTCATTGTTAAATCTGAGAAACAAAGATTTAAACTTGGATTAAAAGTGCATATGAATTTACCTTCTCAAGACTAGACTGAACAACTTGTAGATGAGTTGTAAGCTGGTTCTGATTTCCAAGAAGGTTAATCACCCCATTTGGCTTTTTCTTGTCCCTTTTCAGGAAAAGTTGGAATGTGAGTATAGAGTTTTCCATTATCCTGATAAGATCAGGAGCAAGAACTCTCATGTCTGAATCATCTTCTGTTGATCCTTGATCTAAACCTGAACAGAGAAGTATGATACTGAGCACTTAATCACACAGAAAGAAACATTAAGAGACATAAATACCAGAACTACACCCGGCAACTAATAAACATCTTCTAATTTCATTTATAATTAATGGCAATCTGATTAAATGCGAGTAATTTGTGGATCGTTCACCTTGAACATTAGGAACATGAAGTAGTTTAGGTAAAGTGTTCCTTGTGCGAGCATAAATTTCAGCTCTAAGGCCCTTCTCAAAAGGTTCATTCTCAATGAACCTTTGTAGCAGAACCTGGAACTGTTGAAACTGCTGAGCACTGTGGTTGTAACAGATAGGATTTTCGGGTTGCCAAGATATCTTCTGGCACATTTGACTGTACTGACAATGAAGCGCCTCCCAAGTTAAGCATACCTGACCAACATATGCCGTCTCAAGATCCTGATAGGGATCATTGTGAGGCCGTTTAAGATGTTCGGTTTCATCATCAGTTTCTCCAAATTGTTTCGAGGAAAGACATCGAAGCGGGTATGTCAGCTTCTTTGATGCAGATCTAGGAGACTGAGTTGAAGGGTACTGGGAGCCTAATGCAGTGAGGGTGTAGCATATCACAAGACATGAAGTGAACATTTAGTCAGCAAAAATGATCAGGAAGAAGGAGGTGGCAAAAAAGAAGAGAATATCCAGGTTACTATGACCAAAGAGTCTCTTGAAAGATTCAACTCAAATAATTCCGCTTTTTATTATTGATTTTTGTTTATCAAAGAGGAGTCATGTGGGGCTCAACCTTATACTCCAACATCATAAACCATGCATGCCAAACAGAGGGACACAATTGCTCCACTACTTTGCAAAAGTTAAATCAATCCGGACGATAGGGGCTATACTTTGCTGCGGCATATTAAAAACTCTTTATTTATTGTTTAACATCAGTCAATTACAGTATCAATATAAAATACGATCAACATAAAATATAAAATCTATAAATATTCATAGTGTTCAAAAGCCATGATTCAATACATGGGGGCCCACCTAATCTCAAACTCAATCAGAACAGACTGCTCAGTTCAACTTGAAAAATTGCAAGCATAAGTGCACAACCCAACTCCTAGATCCTTTATGCACTATCCATCCAAGTCAAACTCACCATTATGCGTACAAGATCTTTTCTTAGGTTACTATGTACTTCCCTAAAAACATTAAGACCAGACATTTCCCAGGGCATTGCTCTTGTCATCATAAGACACAGAAAAAAGGTAGTCTGCAATCTGCAATTTATAGAACCCAAAATTGAAGCAACCCTTCGTAGCCATCGGTAGTATCTAGCTATTAAGGATAGAGATAAAGGAAACTAAACAAGTTTATATCTTTGAAAATGAACAGAAAAACAGAGTAATATACCTTTGCCAACTTCATTAAGCTGCTGGGTGCTCATACGATCGAAGAAGAGCATTCTCTCACAGTACTTTTCAAACAAAGCATCAAAACCACGCCACCATTGCTGACCTTCTGCTTCGACATCCCTCCATTCATTAAAGCATGTTTCTCCCTCATCATCTTCGTCATCATCCTCGCATGACTCTTCTTCTTCTTCAGGAATCAACACCATGAAACTGTTTCTTCTCAATTCTTTCAGTCTCCTCTTTACCTCATTGGTGATAAAATCATCATCATCGTCCTCAGCTTCAGCTGCAGCATCTGAATTTGCTGATTTACACTGATCATCATCATCACCATGCTCAGGCTTTGGTTCCTCGTGTTCTGGCAAAGGCTCTTCTGATATAAACTTCTGCCCAGCTGCTTTTTGAGGTATTCTCAACTTCACTTTGAAAAAATTCATCCTCTACCACTTTCTCTTTGAAACAAAACAGGTTTTTTCTCAAGAAAAACCCTACAGTTTTGTCAAAACAGAAAGTGAGTGATTGTACTCAAGAAGATATTCCTGCAGAGAAAAAAACTACTTTGATTTTAAACTCTGATTCTGCCATTAAAAAGATTTTGACAGAACGAATATTTCGCGGGTGCCGTTAAAATTTAAAAGAAAGCAGAAAGTGAGTGATTAGGCATGAAACCTTGGGATCTATACCAAGTGGCAAGTTCCCAAATTCCGAACTGTCCCCAGTACAAGAAACTAGTGTGATCTGCCAGCCCAGGAAGCATATATGCAGAAAGATCACAACTTTCACATAAAAGGGAGTAATTTCTTAGGCATAAACAAAAAAATCATTCTCCAAATGCACAATGTACTCTCCAAAGCTTATAAATAGAAAAGGTGATGAAAAGAAAGTACTTTCAGGAGTATTGAGATATCGAATCTTGATACCTTTTGGAAAAATATGCAGATGAAAGGCTTTATCTACGGCGTAAGAGGAAGAGGGGCAGAAGCATTTACAAAGATCAGAACCACCGACAATGCTCGCAGGTTCTTGCTACATTAAAGTGCTCATAGCCACTCCTTTTGGCAACATTGAACGATCAACACCAAAAGGGGATCTTTCTGGACACAGAAGCAAAAACACCGGCATTGAATAGTGATGAGGACCAGAAAGCACTATTCTCCAGCTCGTTGTTTTGTCTCAACAGTTTTACTGAGGAAATATGCAGATTATGATAGAAACAGAAAGGAAGAAGAAAACAAAAGGCACATGCAATCCAGAAATGAGATACCCAACAAGCCGATCATAAATGAGCCAGTCGCTCCAGATGGCTAGTCCCCAAATCAACACCTGGCTATTATCTCCAAGAAACTAAGAAAAATGTTACCATATTGTTGAAATTTGCACTAGGAACTCCCAAAGATTACTACTAGAGTTCTGAGCAATGTGACAACTTAGAAAACCGAGAGCTGAAGAAAGCAAAATTTGCAAGAGAGATCCTAGAGTAGGGGGGGGGGGGGGGGGGAGAGAGAGAGCTATAAGTGCTGGGAAAAGTTCAGGTAAAAAATGCAATAAATGTGGGCACTGAGCAGAGAGCACGCTGATTGCTTTGTCCGGGTATCTTTTTTTAATAAAAGAAACAGTAATTTGGCGTCAAAATGGTTATTTGCAATTGCAGGGAAAATTTGAATTTTTTTTCCCCTAACGCAATCAGAGAGAAGGCAAGAGCGGGTAGAAGACAAGAAACTGTGTCATTGTACAGAGAATATGATCAGTGCCAGAAAAAGAAAGAGGGAGAAGTAGAAAAGGCCACGCAAAATGGTTTGATTTTAAAAAACGATAGAGAACCCGGGAAGCAAATTACGAAACGATAAAGCTCTTCCGTAACGGGAAACGCATATGGTAACCGATTATTTGGCCAGAAAAAATGTAGTAACCGATTAGACTACGTTGGAAAAGTTACAAATAATCCTCAGTAATAAATTAATGATAATCTCTTGAAGGTAAACTCTTTTATTAGCCCAAAAACAAAAATTTAAGTTGCAGTGTGTCTGGGTTTCATGCTTTTCTTTGTGAACATCATTCTGTGGTTGTTTTTTGAGTACAAGGCCACAACAAATAGTCACGGGGTGAGACAATACATATCTTCAATTCGTAAATTGCCTGCGTAGCAGGGAGCAATAGATTCAAAAGGAGAAGTGTTTGTTTGAATGGTCAGTTTGAAGCCCCATACTTGTAGAGTTTATGAGTATGTGTGAGATGAATTTTCGACTTCCATGGAAATACACGTCATATGCAAATCCAAACAAACCCAAAATAAAGATTACGAGCCCCTTCTTAAAAGCTGTACATTTTTATAAATTGAATCAAAACTCTTCTTATTTACTTAAGTCGTATTTTGTAAGTTAACGTGTTTGATAGTTGAAAAGGTCATTTTAGACGAAGTTAAGAGCTCCCAATAAAAAAGTGATCGCTTCCCTTTGAGTCTCATCCTAATTCTAATGTAATCGAAAACCTTTTAAAATACCCCAAGAGTTGAATAGTGATGTTTGTTTGATAACCAATCCTTCTTGAAAATTTCTTTTCCTAATTAATTACTCTTATTTCGCGTGAAGATGTTTTCGTGGGTATGCTGGTTATTTGATTAAACTAATGTCTTATGCTGCGTCAAGCTTGCTAAAATAACCAAAGCAATACATTCCATTTAACGAAAGTGTCTCATTTATTTAACTCTTGGATGATGGGAGCTATTAATAAGGCTCAATTGGGACCAGCCATTGTGTTCAGATGACCCATTTGCAAGATGAAGGGGCAGGAGCATAATGTGAGCTTCAAAAAATTTAAAAAAAAAAAAAAAAACAACGAAAGAAGGTGGTTAGGTGCTTAATATCTAAGTGCTTGTTTATAATGAAGGTAGAATTTTTCAAAAGTAACTTTTTAATCATAATTTATAGAATATAAGATAACTGTGTAAGACGAATTTTATTTCAATTACTTGAATAAGTGGTTTGGACAATCAAGATTGCATTCAACATACCCTTTTAAGTTGAAAATTAAGGTTTTCATGTAAGGAATTTTAGAGAGTCCTAGTTAGTTAAGGAGTCTCTTATTTCTTTAATTACATCATTATCAACACGCATTTAGAGTAATATTGGAGTAAAGAACTTTTTTTTTTTTTAAATCACACAAAGATGTCAAAAGAGTAACTCGAATTGTTCTGCTGTATTTATTCAAGAGTACGGGAAAAAAAAAAGTAAAAGGCTTGTTGAAGAAACTGAAAATTTCTTTATTTCAATTTTAATCCAAATAGGTGTAAATCTATTTGGAAATTTCTGTTGATGGATTGAAGCCACTTATTGGATCATTCAATCTGGACTTTTGAGCTATGGAAGATTGCCCTCAAATTTTTTAAAAGAAAAATTGTAATAAGATTTCATCCAAGAAAATTAAATACAAAAATGTCTTTTGAATTCATCAAATTAATCTAAAGTTTTAAAAGACCTTATTCTAAGATATTCTATTTGTTTAATTATCAAATTACCCTTATCTTTTTTTTAAAATTATACATTAACAACTGAAAGTACAATCATTAATAATTTAAAGTGTAACAATTAGCATCTATCGCAAATATTGACAACTCATACATTACATTTTTGTAATACGCTGAAAAAATATGTTGTTAATATCTACCGCAATAGTTATTAATCGTTACACCTTAAATTGTTGATGACTATTCTTTCAGTTGTTAATACATGCTTTAAAAAAAAGACAATTTGGTAATTAAATAAATAAAATATCTTACAATGAGGTCTTTTAAGACTTTAAAATAATTTGATAATTTTAAAAGACCTTATTGTAATTTTGTTTTTTTAGAAGGCTATTTAAGGAGCGACCAAATCTGTGTGTTTTGGGCAAGACTTAATATTGAGTGCGCTAATTTTGCTACTTTCTATGGGCATTTTAATACTCTTCTGATACTTAATGTAGGATATAATTGAAAAATTGATATTGTTCCATATGTAAGATTTATTTCACATATTTATTATTTTTTTAAATTAACTCTATTGATATTCTCTCAACAACAATTAAGTAAGAAAGAAAAGGAAGGAATTAAGAAAGATGTTTAAGGTGTTTTAAAATATATATATATATATATTATTCCTCCGATCCTAAATATAAAACCCCTTTTTATAGTGTAATTTACACTACAAAAAGATATCTTATATTTAGGATCAAAAGAATATATTAACTATTAACTATTTTACTAATATCTATAATTTACTTAAATCAGTTTTTTTGGCCAATTTACTTATATTAGTAGGTTAGATCCTACGCTAAGGAGTGGAAGAGTATATAGAATGCTTCTCATTGTGTTTATTGAATGTGGACGTGATTTGCTTGACCCCGCTTTGTCCATCTTGACCTATAGTCACTTTCATCGAAAACTCTTCTTATGGTACCAAATAGGGCATTAGTCCTAGCTAGGTGTTATACTCCCTATGGTCCAACTGGTCTTCGCCGGCTTTTTTATCAAGACACGACAAACAGTAAAAGTATTTACTCAGATGCTATAAGATCAAAAATATTTACTCAGATACTACACTTAAAATCGTTCAGGCAGTGAACGAGTTTAAATTTATACAGAAGTTGTTAGACTAAAAACGACTTCAGTGGGACCCACATCCAAAATATGAAAGTTGTTCTTGGTCTGAACAACTTCAGTGGGACCCACATCACAAAATGGAAGTTGTTCTTGGTCTGAACAACTTCAGTGGGACCCACTATTTGTCTTACACTCCATGCGTTTTCAGCTTTCGTATTTTGTTTCTGCCTTTTCCAGCCCCATGCAAAGTGTTTCTTCCTTCCCAAATATTCCCATCAATATAGAGTAGTCATTCCTTGTCTCTCATGCGTGAATACTTTGTTTTTGCATGTGAGTGTATAGTATGAATTCTACTTATGTAAGGCATTCGGCATTCTTTTTATTTAATTATTCCAAAATTATAACTAAAATTCTAAAATTATAAATAGAATATTTTTATTATTTATTTAATATTATTTATATTTAATTAATTCTATTTAATTAATAATTAATTAATATTAATTAGATATATTAATATAGATTTATTAAAAATAAATAGTATATTGAGGAAATTTCTAGATTTCACATCTAATTGAATTGTAGAAATATGATAATCTCCTCCAAGAATTTTTAGAAAAAAATCCATCAGATTCACATTTTATTTGATCCTTAATTTCTAGTCGAAAGCTAATAATGTATTCCCACTCATCATAAGCCTTCTCCTCACTTAACGGAGTGAAAGGGGCTTTTGTTTTGCATGTTTTGGGTTTTGCAATCAAACCCAGCTTTGTGTTACTTAGGGAATTTTTAGCAAAACGTTGCAAATAGGGAAAAAAAATTCTTCAAATACTACATAGTGGGAATTATTTCCCCAAATACTACACTCAAAGTTGTTCTTAGTTTAAACAACTTTAAAAGTTCATCTTAATAAGAGCAATTTCTTCAATAAACATTGGTTCCCATGCAGCTGAACTTCATCTTGGCCTGAACAACGTTTAAAATTCATCTCAGTAAGAGCAATTCCTCCAATAAACCTTTTCTTCCGTCTAGCTGAAATTCATCTTGGTGTGAACAACTTTTAAATTTCACCAGCATCTGAACAACTTCTTCACAATCTCTCACCACATAAATATTCCTACAGTGATGTTAATAATGGTCATATCATTAGAATAATGAGTTAATAATTATATAATGATAATAGTAATAATTAATATTCTATTAATTAAAAAGTGATTAAAGAAAATAAGTAATGATTAAATGTTATAAAATTAATAACAAATAACAATTAAATTGACATGAACAAAAATAAGAATTAATTTACCTCACAAATAATGACTCCCCGTGCCACATCTTGGTCTCCTCCGCGCACGCTGTGGCCGTTGTTGTATATTTACTTCTTGAGTTTGATCTAATGTCTCATTTGTCTGCGCAGTTGACGTATTTAAATCAAACCAAGGTGATTCGGCTAAAGAAATTGATTGTCGAGGGGTGACAAATGCTTCATTTGATGGACCACCTTGCTCAAAAGAAGAAGTGTTATATTGATCGATAAATAATGCAGGATTATCAAATAAGGACATGAATGACTGAAATTGAGGAGGATTGGGTGAGTCAGAATGGGATAATGTTGGTGATGATGGCATGTGATGAGGGTAAAAATGAGTTGGATTGGAAGAGGTGATAGGGCTTGATGAGACTGGTATGTTATCAAAATGACTAAAATTTTGAGGCTCTTGTTCATTTAAATTTTCATTTACAATTGGTGGCTGAGTAGACAAGTAACCGCCTCGCCGTTTGCTTGGTCTATCTCGAGGAATTTGTGGACGGGGTAGCTCAACTGGTGGTGGAGCTGGTTGAGAATTCATATTAAACCGTTGTTCTCTAACTGCAAGTAAGATGTTACGCTGGTCTCGAGCAACTCTTTCTCGATAATCAATGCAATCAGAGCATGTTGAACGAGAATTAATTGTTAGCCTATATAACTGTTCTGCTATGTCAGCCTGAAATAAATAAAACATTAGGTTTGAAAAAATTTTCGTATAAAAGAAAATGATGATATTGATCAGAAAAAACTAAAAAAAACCTTACCACATAGCCAGTATCACCACTAACACGTTGGATCCATCGTCTTGTATGTCTCCAATACCATTGCATGTACTCAGATGTTCGATCAAGTTCACCAAGTGCCAGAGGAGCATCAACAACAGCATGTGGCCATCTATTCCATGCTTCAATGAAGTTTGAGTATTCTTCAGTCCAATTTGTGCTTATTCTGCCACGTAGTTGTATTGTATGGTAATTTCCTAAATGAACAGGCATGACAGGAATAGGTTGTTGACGACCGAATTGCCTTAGTACACGATCAGGGTGATGCCATTCTATAATATGAAAACATATTAGAGGAACTGAAGCAAGCCAAATTTCAGGTGTTGCCAAGCAGTATTCTGGAATCAATTGGCGCACTTCAGAAGATTCATATGGCTGCCAAATTATGTCATCATCGGTCATTCTATCAAGAAGACTCCTATATTGGCGTAAGGATGTGACACTTGGACGAGGATTTTGTCCTACATTTTTCCATCTAGCATTATCAACAACCCAAAAAAGTAGTGTTAAAATTTGTAAAATTTCAATAATAAGTACATATGAAATATTTGTTGTGTGATTTTGGCATACCTGAAACCCAAAGGAGGTAAGAGAGGGTAGATATTAGACTGTGGATCTGGAGATACAGGTTGTTGTGGTGCTAGCGTAGGAAAACGATCCCATGCCCATAAATGTAATAATGATAAGCACCCTCCAATCCCATCTTCAGTTGGATTAGTAGCATTACATAATTCTCTATACAGGTGAGCTAAAACTGCTGAACCCCAACTAAAATTTCCAACTTCTTCCAGATTATAAAGTAGTGGAAGGTACATCAAATACACCCTAGTACACGATCTATCTGGCATGAGATATCCTCCAATCAACCTGAGAATATATGCACGAGTGAATTGTTGAACTTGTACATCGTCTGCATCATCAGGTAAGTGATTAAAGTGCTCTTCCAACCAATTCATAAGTAGTCGTTGTCCAAGTATTCTATCTGCAGGTGGTCTAACCCCTAGAAGCCATTCACAAACATCTTGCCAATTAAAGTCAGTTTTCCCAATGACAGGCATTCCTACACAAGGAAGGCCTAACTGTATAGCAACATCCTCTAATGTTATCGTGCACTCTCCACGTGTAGTATGAAATGTGTGAGTCTCAGGACGCCACCTCTCAACAAGGGCTGAGACCAAACTCCGGTCGTAATCAAATTGCCCTACCCTCGCAACACCATAAAATCCAGCTAATCTAAGATATTCAAGTATCTGATTGGGTGGCTCAATCATTCGATTAGCATGCATGACTCGTCTAGTGTGTAGGATTCGAGAAACCTATAGAGAAAATTTTAAAAAAAAGTTAGTATTAAAGCATAGAATTAATAAGTAGTAGTTAAGAGAGATTACTTACATTTTCATTCCAAACTTGTTGCGAAATATGTTGAGTTTGTAAGTACAGAAGTGAGTTATCCTCTGGACCAGGGTTAATGACTTCTTCTGGATATTGTGCCATTTTCAAATATCTAAACACAACATAACAAATAAATATTCACATAATATAAAAAATTACAAAAACCATTTACATTTCATCTTCATATGTATAATTTTCTTTTTACATAAGCAAAATACATAATTTATTGTCTGGATGCCACTCTTTGAGGACAAGTAGAGCGATTATGACCAATTTGTCTACATAATCCACATTTGTTGGGTGGGTTGGGTGTGGTCCAATCCATCTCATTACGTATGCGACTTGAACGAGGACGGCCTTTATCTCTAATCATTGATGGATCAGGTATTAGAGTAGGGCAATCAATTTGCGGCCAGTAAGTCTCATCTCCTATTGGATGAAAGTTGTTACTGTAAGCCATTTGCATGGTTTCTAACCTAAAAACAGGATCAACATATTGCAAATGGTTAATGCCTACTTGTGAGCAAGCTGCAACAGCATGCATACATGGAAACTTTTCTGCTTGAAATTCTCCACAATCACATTTTCTATCAATCAAGTTAACCTTGCAACAACGACGAAATTGACGAAGTTGAATATTGTATGGCTCGATAACCTCAAATGATGTTGATATTCTATCAAACTCTCGAACAACACATCCAGATGCACCTTGTGTTACTATGTCTAACTTCTTTGTTAGTGTCTCAGAAAACACTTGACCAGCTGCAATTTGCGCATGAACTTGTTGGGCACGCTTTACAAAATAGTTGTTAACTCTATACATGGTCGCTTTAACTAAACCAGTTATGGGTAGACTTCGAACACCTTTGAATACACCATTCATGCACTCTGCAAGGTTAGTTGTCATGTGTCCATAACGTCGACCTTCAACGTCATATGCACGTGACCATTTTTCTTTGGGGATGGCTCCAATCCATCTAGCAGCAGATGCATGTTGCAATACTATCTCTGCTAATTGTTGGTCAACAACATGACGTTCATACGCATACCCTACAAGTAATTATTAACTTGTTAAAAATAATCATAAAATTATAAAGTTATTGTATCATTAAAAAACACAAGAAATCTCACCAATATTTATAAATTTCTCTTTTAGCCAATTTGTTCCATGTGCTTTGTGAAGATTAGAGGCCACATGACGTAGACAAAAAACATGATGTGCATGTGGTGGCTGCCATCCATGTTGAGGATCAGAAACTGCAGCCAAAATTGAACGATGTCTGTCTGAAATTAAACAAATTTCTATTCTATCTTTTACAATACAATGACGCACATGGTATAAGAACCATGTCCAAGCTGATCTTGTCTCCCCTTCAACTACCGCAAATGCAAGCGGCACAACATTTCTGTCACCATCTTGTGATATAGCCATTAGTAACGTGCCCTTATACTTTCCATATAAAAATGTTCCATCAACTTGTATAATGGGCTTCAAATGTGGAAATGCATCAATGCATGGCTTGAATGCCCAAAACACACGGCGAAACATTTCAACTGGTTCCCCATTCGCATTGACTTGAGAGCACTGTTTATTTGAAAATTGTACGTATGATCCAGGCATGAAGTGTTGTACTGCGGCTAACCACCTTAGGAGTAAGGAATATGAGATCTCCCAATTCCCGAAAGCAACGGCAATGGCTAATTGTTTTGCATTCCAAGCCTTCTTATATGACACTATATAACCAAACATGGATTGCATCCTCTCTATAATTTGAGATACTTTCACATCTGGCTTATCAGTTACCATTGCTATGATACAAGATGATATAACATCAGCATCTAACTTTGGATGGTCTTGAGTTAGTGATGTGCTTAAGCATGTGTGGGGCCCCCATATTTTGTAATTTGCCAAAAGTTTCTGTTTTCCTTCTTACAAGCTCTTACTCTCCAATAGCAGCTTTCACCATAGTTAATGCATCGATATTCTTCATACTTGTTACATGAATAATAGACCTTGAATGTGTGATGAACTCGAACAGAGTATAACTTGACCGCACGTCTCAAAACACGAACATTGCTAAACATCTTTCCGATATGTAACTCTTCATTTTGACTGAAAGGTGGAATTTCTTCTAATTCACTGAACTCAGGAGCCATAGCTGACTCAACATTAATATGCGAGAAGAAAGCAGATGCTAGCTCATTATCCTGGTTGATCTCGTCATGCTCATCATTGTCATCATGATCATTCCCATCACCAATATTTAAATAAGAATCATATTCATCTTCGTCCTCAAATTCATCCATAGTATCTTCCATTTGAGGAACAGAGCAAGATGGCCCATTGTTGATACCATCTTGGGGAAGTTCAAATGGGTGAAGATTTTCCATCTGATCGCTAAACATGGATTCTTCTTCTATAATGTTTAGCTGATTGCTACTTGATGGAAGAGTATTTCCAGCATTTTTGTCCATTAGTTGTGATTCAATATGACCAACATCTTCCAAGTCACCTATATTGGCATACAACTCTGCACATGTTAACTGAGTTGAGAATCGACGATTCACTTGCCACATTTGTTGTACATCCGAATCATCTTCTAGATTGCATGCTTGGTATTGTGGTGGATTTATGCACGTAGGATATCTGTACACTAGATTTGTCACAATTTCATTGGGAGGAAGTTGTAGTTTTCGTCCAATAACTTCCTTCAATCTATCCAATGTAATATTTGGATCAACTTTCACTACTTTCGCTCTATCACACTCAAATGTTGCACCGACCGGGCCATTAAAAATTCGTCCATTTGCAAATATACACACAAACTCTTTTCTATGATCCATTCTGCTTCCTAAATAATACAGTATAATTATTAATTAAACAAAAATGAATTGTAAAACTAAATTAACTCCATAATATCATTATTTTTTAATTCAATTATGTATATATTTTTAAAATAAAGTAGTAGAATAATCATTTATTTATAGTTACAAAAATTAGGCTATTTATTAAGAAACTTATTTACATTTTTAAGTAAGATAGTAACCTGTAATATTTTTTAATCAACAACGACTGTGGAACATCAATCATAAAAAATATTTAGAATAACTTAAAAATTAATTTCAATTAAAAATAAACGTTACATATTAAAATTTTATTATAACTTCTAATATATCAATATAAAATTAATAATATAAATTACATATTTCAAATATATTAAATAAATAATTTTCTATTCATTCCATTTTATTCAAAAAAAATATTATAATTAAATATTATTAAAAAATTAGCTAAAATCATTACTTCTGTTTTATTATCAAAAAGGATCTTAAAAACTATAAATATTTAGAAGGATTAAATATATTTAAAAACATTAAATTCTCCCACAACTACATTCTAAATTTTTTCTAACTTATGTTCCATTATTGGATATTTTTAATGACTAAATTAGATAAATATTTGATTAAATAAATTAATTTGAAAATATTTCTTATTCAAAAAAATTGCTTCTGCTTCGTTTTTCTCCCGGTCCCAACTTCATACTTCAAATGTTCAATTTTAATTTATCTATATTATTAAAGAATAATTATATTCCTTTCAACCTCTAATTTCTATATTGCGAATAAATGCTTTTGATGAGATATATACTTTAGTTAACACATAAAGGTAAATTTACATTAAATAATAATAAGTTTATAATAAATGTACTTGTGTAATTTTATATTAGGTACCGTTTAAGTGACCCTAAAAAAACATCCTTATGATTGAAAACAAAAATAAATGTTAATAACTATTTCACACTAGTTATTTAAAAATTATAATTACTTAATATGACGAAACAATTAGCTATTACTGTTGAGTGATTTTTTAAAATTTATAGTTTATTATTTGGTCTATAGGTCCTCCTCTTTAATAAATATTGCTTTCTCTAGGTCCTCCTCTCTAATTTTTCCAAAAAAAAAAAAAACTCCTTTCTTTCATTATTATTAACCCCATCATCAGTACTCTTTTTATTAGGAAAATTTTGACACCATTTAGTGCTAGCTTTCATTGGCTAGATACAAGACTAGACTAAGCTAACAACTAGGGTTGTCAAACTCACGAGTTTAAGTAAACTCGTGACAGGTATGTAAACTCGAATTTATGAAATTCATACATGAAGTCACTATACATAATCAAATAATAAAATAATTATAAATTTAATAAAAATTATAACTAGGACAACTGATTTGGATTTTCAATATTTTAAAGGTTTTTATAGTTAAATAATTTAACTGTCTTCTACGCATGCTTTGATATAAATTTTACGTAATTTTAACAAAAATAATTTTATCATTGTATATTAAAATTTTATGAGTGGGGAATATTATTCCATCAATTTTTCTTTAAATATTCAAGTATTTTTCATGATGTATTGACTAGCATAGGAGAAGTTTGATTACCATGCTCACAACCAAATATTATCTAACTAGATACATATTTAATCTGACTACATATTTACTCAAACACTATCTACTAAAAAAAAGATATATATTTAATCAAATTATAAAAAAGTAAACTGTAATTTATTTTATATGACAATTAATTATATGTCTACATTTTTTTAATTAAAACAAACTCAACATGTAAAAATGACTAAATATAAAATTCTTATCCATCATTTAGCAAAATACATATCAAAATTTAAAAAAAAAAATTAATCAAGAGAATGTACCTTAATCAGAAGAAAAATTAAGCCTCAAGTTGAGATAAAACGTATGCAATATTTGCAAGGCCACACACACCACCAACTTCACGTGAAATTGTGGAAAGAGAAAGAAGAACTGAAGGACCTGCAAATAAAATTCAATTCTTCATGCGAAATGCCGTATATATAGAGAAAGAAGAATTGAATTGTATGAAGAATTGAAGTTGAGATAAAACGTATTTACCTACTTCACAGGAATGCCTTACACATAGAGAAAGAAGAATGTGAGAAGTGAAGAGAAGCCTTCTGATGAGTGGGAATGGCGAATAGCTTATATAAATAGAATTCATACTATACACTCACATGCAAAAACAAAATATTCACGCGTGAGAGACATTGAATGACTACCTATATTGATGGGAATATTTGGGGAAGGAAGAAACAATTTGCGTGTGGCTCTGGAAAAGGCAGAAGTAGTGTATGGTCAAAATATGAAAGCTACACGCAAAAGGCAGAAATAGTTTGGGTGAGCCTTCGCTTTTTGGATTGTCTTCTGCCCAATGTCAATGTGGTACCCTCTCGTTTGTTTTTAGTTTCCATTGGTTTTACCTTGTTTACAGGTCGACCCCATGGCAACAAGAAAAAAAAGGCGATCTTGTGCTATACTCCAGTGATCTCTTTCCTACCGAGGCATGCAAACCCCCATCGTGTCTGGTCATGTAATGTAAGGAAAGCTGAAAACGCATGGAATGTAAGACAAAAAGTGGGTCCCACTGAAGTTGTTCAGACCAAGAACAACTTCTATTTTGTGATGTGGGCCCCACTGAAGTTGTTCAGACCAAGAACAACTTTCATATTTTGGATGTGGGTCCCACTGAAGTCGTTTTTGGCCTGAACAACTTCTGTATAAATTTAAACTCGTTCACTGCCTGAACGATTTTAAGTGTAGTATCTGGGTAAATATTTTTAATCTTATAGCATCTGAGTAAATACTTTTACTGTTTGTCGTGTCTGGATAAAAAAGCCGGTCTTCGCCTATAAACAATCCTTGTAAATTGTCATACTACCTTATTATATTATTAAAAAAAGTGTTATCATTTTCAACCGGAGAATTTTTTTTTAGGCTTATGGTGGTCCGAAATATTAAGGGTAAGGGTATTCATTAGAGGAAACGGGATCCAAAAAATTTTAAAATTAAATGTACAAAAATTTTTTTTAAAAAAGATAAAATTTGGTCAAAAATTCGCAGCTATAAAAATGACAAAGAAAAAAATTTCCTTTAAAAGACCAAAAAAAAAACCTTAAAAGACCCACTAAAAAAAAGGATACAACCCATTCAAAAAAATTTTATAAAATGCTAGCACCTTTGGGGGGTAGTGGCACAGAGTACGCCCTGTGGTAGCACTTATCATGGGTTAGAATTTGTGATTGCAAGCAATAGCTTATCAAACCAAGAAGAAAAACAGAAAAAAAAAACCTTATAAATAACATAGTCATAAAAATTATAATATTATCATTATAATAATAACGGAAATAAATTTATAAAATTAATAAATATGTATATATGTTAGGACTAAAGTCGGATGGAGCACCCCATTTCATATCTAGTTTCATCTCATTTTTAAGAACAGGATTATCCTGTCCCAAAATGATTAAAATCAGGACAAATCGTCGAGATATGACACAATTAAATACTATTAATTGAGCAGAAAATGGCATAGTGGTTTGCCAAAAACACTATTATATAGACAAAAAAATTTTAGGTGGACTAAAATGAGGTTAAATTTTAACACTAAAAATACTAATTTAAATTTCAAAAACTAAAATTAAAATAGGTCAAATTTCAAGATTAAAAATAGTATTAATCTTGAGATATATATATATATATATATATCACAATTCTATTAACTCCCGTTCTTTTCTGCTCATTTACTCCTACTTTGAAAAACTCTTGGAGCACGGTACGCTAAAAATTTTGGTGAAGAAAAAGGAAAATCATGATTTTTCATGAGCAGCGTGTGTTTGGCTGGCAAATCTTCTCGGAACCAATTTTCCAGGGGCGTTAGATTTTCCTTTATACACGGAAAAATCGCTTTCCACCCATTTTGGTGAAAACTGA